ATTCTTCAATTTTCAGTTTCTCAATTCTGATGAAATTTTTTTAATTGCTTTTTCTTTAGTATTATAAAAATAAATGAAAATCATAGAAATATGTACATTAATAATGTTAATGAAATGTTTTTGAACTATTAAAATAGATGTAAATTCTGGAGTTCTAAAGTTACCTTTTTATTTTTTTAAAAGTAATTATGTGTTTACTGTTTAGCCATTTGCTTAGCAGCATACTTGTGGAATACTTTACTCTCTCACCTCCTACAGTTTGTGCTTGTCATTGCCTCCTGACTACTTACCTTGTCCAACCTAAGATGACTGTTTTCCATGACTCTGCAAAGCACAGTCTGCATCCTCTGCTGAAATCCTCTGCTTTGACATCTTCAGGCAATGAGTAAATCCCATCATCTACCCTTTTCACTCCCACATCCAGATTGCTGAGTGCTGTAGTCTTTCTCTAGCACCAAGTCATTAGTTCGACGCCCTTTCACATATAGATTCAGATCCAGCTGACCCCTAAACACGGTGCCATGAACTGGAGACTGCTCTATTTTCTCCTTTTTACCTTGTTTAAAGGCACCTTGGAGAAACTCTTTAGAATTTCTTGGTCTCCTTAAGATCTCATCCCCACTATTGCTTCTTAAACATATTTAAAACGTCACAGAGAAATGTGAGGTGTTTTTTTTTTTTTTTTGCAGTTTTCCTTCTCTAATCTTCCCTGTTCATACATCTTCAATTAAACTCATGAACTCACAAATAAACCTGCATTCTTACCTCTAGTTTTACAGAAAGCGTTCACCTCTCTTCAGTTGGTCTAATCCTTAGGTTAGTGACATTGCTTTTACCTTATGTTTTTTCTCTTGAACTTTCTCCTATCAACTACTCTTGACATTTTCTCTCTTCCTTTCAACTGGCTACTTCTGAATCCACCATAAACATAATCATGTCTCTGTCATTAAAAAAATAAACAGGTAATATTTTTTCACTCATCCATTGTTTTATTCTAGGAATACATCCAGCTGTCTCAGAGAAACACTGAAGTAATCCCTCCTTTCATTTTGTTACCTCCTCTGGCTGATTCTTACACTTACTAACTTGGGTTTGTGAGTTTGAGGTCTGCATTCCAGGCCTACTGTTCTACTGTTTCATACCTGCAAATTCTGTGTCACTTCTTTTTTTTTTTTTTCAGTTCCTATCTCACTTGGACACTAACTGGGAGTCTTCTCTTTTCTCTCTCTTAAAAATTACTCATCATCACTGATGATGCTAGCTACTATATCTTTCCCACCTCTGAGACTGTCCTGTTTCAGCCTAATTTACTGCCACTCTTTCTGACTGCTCATAGAGTTGCATCTTTGGCTATCTTCCCACTGTGGACAGATCTATCAGCTAAATAAAATGGATATTTGCATGACACCCATATCAACAAGTTCAACCGAGAGACTTCCTGATTCCCTGAGATGTAATTCCAGACAGGCATTTCCAAAAACTTACTCAACAGCTTCTTGGAAATATACCTCATAGATCCCAACACAACATTCCCCAAGTTGAACTTTACAACCTACTCTTTCTCCTGTTGACTTTGTTGGTGAACAATATCACCAACACACAAGCCAGAAATCTGGGTGTCTTCTGACACTGCTATATACCTCTCAACTCCTATGTTTGAATGACTGCCAAATCCTTAAATCTGTTGCATGTATTTTACCTCTCCATCCCCATGGCTACTGCTGTGAAAATCACTTTTCTCTGGGCTATTGAAATGGGTTCCAAACATATTTTTTTATATTTTCTATTTCTTACATGCTTTAGGATGTGGTTTCCTCATACCCAGTCTTCTTGAAATGGCTCCCTTCCTTGGTTTAGTCCGTCTGAATTGTTTTTCTTGTTGGCTGTGGCGAGTCACAGACATACTGAAGACTCCCTGAGGAAGGCCATCAATTGCTTCTTTAGAGAAATGCACACTCTCCCATGCACACAGGCTCACACATTGTTATAGTGGCATGAGGGGATTCATGGATTCCATGGTCTGACAAGGAAGCTGGTGGGCCAACCTGATTTCTAGTCACACTACTCTCCAACACCTTCTGCAACACCAAATATGTAGAGTTACCCCTAATGCTATGTTGTGAGAAATGTTTTTTTTTTTTGAAAGAGAAGAAAGAAAGAAAAGAAGAAAGAAAAAAGAGAAAGAAAGAAAAAGAATGAAAGAGAGAAAGAAAGAGGAAGAGAAAGAGGGAGAGAGAATGGGAGTGTTGCTTTATTGCCCAGGCTAGAATGCAGTCTAAAAAATGGGTATTAAAAACCTCTTTTATGCCAATAAAATGTGCTTAACAATGGAGACAGGAAGGAATAAGGGAGGAAAATAACAAACAAGCAGCCTACCAATATTTCATTTAAACCTGTGAAATGCTATGCAATTGCTGAGGAGTGATTTACTTCCAATTATGTGGTCACTTTTAGAATAGGTGTGATGTGATACTGAGAAAAATGTACGTTTTGTGGATTTGGGGTGGGGAGTTCTGTAAATGTTTATTAAGATTACTTGTTCCAGGTCTGAGTTCAAGTCCTGGATAGCCATGTTGTGTCTTGCTTCATGATAATGCCTCACACAACCCCTGCTTGCCACATTCACTTAGTAAAAGAGTAAAATACTCTCATTTTCTGTCTGTTAGCCTCAGATCACCTTCAGGAATATACTTATTCTTTCCTCAAACCTATAGATCTGGTTGTTTCTTCCATCATAGCCCTGTTATATATGACTTCTATAAGACAATAAAATAAGCTAGGGCAGACATTGTGATTTAAAGCTAAAGAAACAGATTCAGAATGACATGGGCTTGAAGACATGGTAGATTTGGATGTATTTGGTAAAAGGCACAATGTACCTAATCCAGCTACCAAGTTACTCTGAGTTTGAGGAAGGAGAAATTTCTTCAATCAAGTTAGTACCGTGTAAAGATTTATAACAGAAGTGGCCTTTAAATTGGTTTTATAAGCTATATAGGATTTGGAAATGCAAAGTTTGTAGGTGGAGAAGAAAAGTGAGAATTCTCCTACCTGGACCACACTTACTAAGCTACTTTTAATCGTAAAAATTAGAACCTTGCTGTGTCATTAGATTCTTTTTCTAGCAGTGTATTAATCATAAGACATTATCACTCGTGTGATTCAAGTGAATCATTTCCTCACCTATATTTTTATTTTTTGTTAGAAATAAGATATTTTGGAATTCACAGTGAGCTTCTTTTTCCTTTGGTGAGTTTCTTATTATATTTACTGATATGTAATATTAAGCACATTGTTTCATAAAATGAGTTTTCAGAAAATCTAATCCTATGGAAAACTCATCAAGAAAGTATTCTGTGTGCTAATAGATTTGTGATTCACATTAGAATTGTTAAAGCTCTTAAAAGACCTCTTAAAGAGGCCTCACTTGTTTAATTTACCACTTCACTACTTATTTGGTCTTATCACTGCTTTTTCCATAATAGCTGTTACTATGTCAAGGGATGACTTCTCCACACATTGGGAAATTATAATGAACTATAAATATTAATCTGCTGTGCATAGTCTTTCCCAATAGAACTACTTATTAAACATCCAAAATAAGTTGTTATATAGATATATATTTTTTCACTTCTCAAGGAGGATATTCCGAAATACCTCTTAACTTAGAGGACTTATATATAGGCCATATATGTTTTGCAAGTATTTGCTATTTACCTATTGGGAGATAATTGTTTTAATATATTATGCAACAATCAAATCATAGTAGCACAGATCTTTTGGAACAAAAAGGGTAACTATATTTTAAATGGTCTTCTCCTCCACCACTAATTTCAGAAACCTGAAGTCTAGAGAACCTTAAGATCTTAGTGAATATCATGGAGTGAGTCTATAGTGGAACCATGGACTAAATATTGATCTCTTGAATAAAAGCTCAGTATTCTTTTCCTCATGAATCTAATCCATTGCTTAATAATCCATTTATATAAACAAATTCTACCTATGATGACAGTTGAGGTTGTTTTGTAACAAGTTTCAAAACAAGGACTAGATATGTTTTAAATACATAATCATTGCTAAACATCCTTGAAATGACATTTTGCAAAATTGAGAACAAAAGTTGTAAAATAATTTTAAAATGAAATTATAACATGCGGAACAAATGTTTTTAAAACATCCAGTCTTTCAGAAGCATAAACTCTGTGAAATCAGAAACGGAAAGTGAAAGTCAGATTCATTGTATTCTTATTTGGTTAGTCTCTCATTTAATAAAACATTTCCTTCCAACATGAAACCACTCTTGGGGATCAAAGTCATTAGCAGAACAAACGGATCATGCTCCTTAGTTAATTCTAACCAGTTCTGTGGTTTAATCATAAGTTGTTTTTCCAAGGCAGAAGCATTTCTGTTTATTAGGTAATATGGACTTTTAAAATTCATTTTCACTATAGTACCTTCTTCCTAAGAACTGTGAATAAATTAAGAGATATGATGCCTTCAATCAACCATGTAAAAACAAAGTTAATAGAAAAAATATATACTGTCTTCTCCTTATATGAAATTACTTTCTTTTATTATAATTTCATATTATTGCTGAAAATGCCAGTTAATACAGAATTTGGGGGCTGTCAAAGGTATAAAGTCATCCATTCCTATACTTTTTAACATAGAGTATTTGTGTGTATATAAAAAAAAATCTCTTTAATGCCAGAAAATGCTTCCAACTTTTTCAAAATTAAAGAAATCACACAGAACATATAATATTTTAACTAGACAATATTAAATGCAAAATTGAAGTCCAGTGGCCTTAGCTCCAACATGTCTATAACTATATCACCATGTGGAAAATTAATGTTGCAAAGTAAACATGGCAATAAAATATACAGTATGTAGAATAAGATATATTTGCTGAAGAAATATACACTCAGAAAATTGAATTATTAACAAAGCATTGAGAAATCATATATGCAGATTAATTTTCTTAAAATTTTATCTTTCAGATTTTCTACTCTCCCCTGGCCCTCTTCATACCACCTTCAGTATACGCTGTTCATCTTCAGTTCAATCTTCTTTACCAATTTTGGATCCATACAGAGGTAAAATTTTTCTTAATCTTTGTAAGTTTTATACCTAAACAGCCTGAAGCAATGTCCTGGAAATCCACTAGCAGCTGATTTATTGTGTAAGAAAAATCTTTGTCTGCCTTTTTTAAGCAGAAACATCTGTTCATTTTTATTCCTTTTTACAGAATATATATTGCAAAGTTTATAAGAAGCAATGAGGCCAGTTGGTCTCAATTAAATAAAACAATTTTTTGAACTATTAAGTACCAAAACATTTTAATACTATATTCAATACAATATCTTCCTGTATTACAGTTTATTAAACATTATTTACCAAGAGATGTTGAAATTCATTTTAATTTAGAGATATAAATTTGTATATGTGTATATATAAATGTATCTGTAATCTGTTGGAACTCTTCTGAAACTTCCTAGAAAATTGTATAGAAATTATGAAAATAATTTTTGATTGGAAAACTTGCTCTAACTACAGAGTTTACATTTTATTTAAAGTTGTCCCACGTATTGTTAGTTTTTTTCCCCCCAAAAATGAAGAAATACAATTTTGGAGTCTTCTGTGGCATGTCAAATCGTCAGACCTGAATATTTGCAGATAGGTTATTAAGCAGCTGATTGGTTTATGAACATTCGTACAAATCCTATTGCTAAAATATCAAAAATCCAAGACCCAGAAAAATTCTTACCTATACACACAAGCGCTCCTTTAGGCATTTGTTATTTATTGGAAGCCTTTGGAAGTTACTATAGGAAGCATGTTGACAGGTTTTGAACTGGTTGAACAATACTACAAATCACAGCTGCATTATATGTGAAACCTTGATACAACAAAGTCCATTATTCCATTAACCCGCAGTATTTTATGCTACCGATTTACTTGGAATAAAGAGACTGTTACTATGACTTTGGACATATGTAGCGTTATTTGAAGATCTATCATGAAATAGTATTGTGTTTTATGATACTTGACATACATCAAGCACTCAGTACTACAACCATCTGAAAGAGTTGTTGTGGCCAATTCTGACTCTAGAGGTCAAAGACCAAATTTGTTTAAATCAGTAGAGGGAAGCTTTCTGATGATTTACATGGAGGGGTTAAGGGAGAATTACATTTTATAGCAGCTCTGCTCCAGGTCACGCCATGTGTTCGGTCAGGTATTAGTTTGGATTCAGAACAATAGTGCCTCAGTCACTTTCCCCCTCTTCCTTTGTCCCTCCAAGAGGACCACGAGATAGGCTTGAGCTCCATTTCGTGAAGTTAAGCAACAGTGGAGAAAAGCCACTGGTGAGACTCATTCCTGTTCGCTAAGAACCTCCAAGTGGCTTCATTTCCACTTCAAAAGCAATGCTTAGAACCTCTCCTTTGTGTTACACTTTATGCTTTTCAACATGCTTTACTATGTATGGGTTTCTACAGTTGAACTGCATGGGAGACAAGAACACTTCTTCTTAAATTCATGGTTTCAATATTGGAAAATTATATTACTAACCATGAAAACATTTCTGAAATATTTCTCAACTGTGCAGTTCCATTAGTTTATTATATACAACATAAGATAGTTTGTTTACAAATAGTAGAATTATTGAGGAAGGAGAGCCAAGAGATTGGACACTGTGACTGGAGAGAAAGACAAATGGTATAGAGGACACGAGTGGGGAGAAGTGTTAAGTATTTTTTAAAAATTATTTTTATCATTTACTTGTCTTGCTTTTCAATAAAGAATTAATACACAGATTAATAAGTAAAAATACTAAAAACTAAAAACAGCAGGCTTTAGTCTGGAAAAATACTCACTTTATGTTTTTCTGTACTGTGAATTGTGTGAACCCCTTTAGGTACATGCATACTGTTTAATATCAGGCATCATGCTTGGATCTCCATTGATAGAAATGATATGCGAGCTGTAGAGCTGACAATGTTAGCCAAAGAGCACTGTACATTCCTGAATAGAGTTTCATCCTTACAATTGTTTCACTTCTCCTTACAGCCATAAAAATCAGTTCTCACTAAAAGGGGAATATGAGCTTAAGAATATATTGATCTTTTTGAAAGTGAAGAAAATTCAGATCTCTTAAAATCAATCACATTAGAATAACAGGAAGGAAGAAAACCTAAAATCACAGTTTTGAAAGACTACAGAAGAAAAAATAGGCCATAAAACACACTCAATATTTTATTGAAATTTTCTGTTTACTTTTGAGTTATTTTGATAAATGCACAAAGTCTAGGCCAGGCACAGTGGCTTTATGCCTGTAATCCCTGAAGTGTGGCAAATCACCTGAGGTCAGGAGTACAACACCAGCCTCGTCATGCTAAAACCTTACCTCTACTAACAATACAAAAATTAGCTGGGAGTGGTGGTGCACACCTGTAGTTCCAGCTACTTGGAATGTTAAGGTGGAATAATTGCTTGAACCTGGGAGGTGGTTGTTACAGTGAGTCAACATCCTGCCACTGCACTCCAGCCTGGGTGACAGAGTGAGACTCCTTCTCAAAAAAGAAAAGAAAAGAAAAGAAAGAAAGAAAGAAAGAAAGAAAGAAAGAAAGAGAGAGAGAGAGAGAGGGAGGGAGGGAGGGAGGGAGGGAGGAAGGAAGGAAGGAAGGAAGGAAGGAAGGAAGGAAGGAAGGAAGGAAGGAAGGAGAGAGAAAAGGAAGGAAGGAAGGAAGAAAGAAAAAGAAAAGATAATCAAAGAAACAAAATCTATCACCATCCTCTTTTTTTGAAAGTTATAAAATATTTGGCTTAAAACTCTACTCTGTTGCTTAATTTTTGTGACTATATTTTTGTTTATGTATTGTTCATGGATCTAAAGTCTACAGCACATATTCAGTTATACTTTTTTCTCGTGAATTCACTAAAGACAGTAAGAAAACCTTGTTATTTAATACATGTTTTTAACTTAGAACTGTGGAATGTTTTAAGTATTTTTTGAGATATCGGGTGTTATTTTGATGTCAGCTGAATTTACACAGTACAGTAGCAATCATATAATGATACTATTACCCTATTATCTTTGTTTTTTCTTGAATTTATTGTTGTTGTTTATGTATATATCATATGATGCTTGAGAAGAGAAATGTGGCAGAGAAACAACTTAATTATTTGATATTGAAGATTTGAAACATCTGATTAAATGATTTTTATAGTGCTAAACTGAAACCTCTAAAGGAAACATTATGCCAATATTACAAATACAAGGAGTGATCTCTTTGTATACCAATATAGATAGACCTCCAAATAAATCAAGGTACATAACAAAATATAGCAGATCCTAATATTTATTTTAAAAGGTGGGAAAACAACTATATATTTTTTATATTCAGTTATGCATAAAATGTTCAGAGAAAGACACTATGGGTAGCCCATGGTTTTCCTGTGGGGAGCAGTGTATGAGATGGCTGAGAGATGAGGATCAGAGTGAGACACTAACATTAATTTTATTCATTCTAATTTGGGTGAGGAGTAATCTCTCTGCAGTATTATTTCTCTAATAATTAATGATGCTGAACAACTTCTCATGTATTTATTGGATGTTGCTTCATTTATTTGCTTTAATGAACTGTCTATTCAAGGTCTTGCCTACATTTTATTGGGTTGTTTGCCTAATTGATTTACCTGGATTGCTTATAGACTCAGGAGACAAATATTATGTCAGACACATGTATTAAAAATATTCCCTTGGCCTGGTGCAGTGGCTCATGCCTGTAATCCCAGCACTTTGGGAGGCCAAGGTGGGTGGATCACAAGGTCCAGAGATGGAGACCACCCTGGCTAACACACTGAAACCCCATCCCTAATAAAAATACAAAAATATTTGCCAGGCATGGTGGTGGGTGCCTTTAATCCCAGCTACTCGGGAGGCTGAGGCAGGAGAATCGCTTGACTCCAGGAGGTAGAGGTTGCAGTGAGCCGAGATCACACCACTGCACCCCACCCTGGGCAACAGAGCAAGACTCCATTCCATCTCAAAAAAAAAATCCTCAATTTGGAACATGTGATTTTATTTTGTTCCTGATGACTTTTCATGAGCAGAAATACTGAATTTTGAAGTTCACTATATTTTATTTATTTATTTTTTTAATTTTCTCTACGAAATCTTTGACTATCAGAAACTCTCAAACATAGTCTTCTAGGATTACTTTTGAAACCTTTAGGGTTTTAACTTTTTCCTTTACTCTGTGATATTCTTGAATTAACCATTACATGTGGTATGAGGTAGAAATCAAGATGCCTGATTTCTATTTACATAGCCACAACTATAGTCCCATTTATTATAGTCTTTAAAAAAATTCATTAGATGTTCTTGGTGACTTGTTGAAAAAAGTCAACCACATATGATTGGATCTATTTTTAGACTCCTCACTTTTATTGATGTGTGTGTTTTCCTTTATACCAATTCCTCAATTTATCGATTATCATAGCTTTCAAGAATGCATTGTTCACACATTTGTAAAATAATCTGTTTAATTTTCTCTAGAATTTTTGTCATGCATAATTTTGTGGTCTGAACAAAGACAGCTTTCTTTCTTTTTTCTTTTTCTGTATTTGTGCTTTTTTTTTCTTGCCTTATTGCTCTGGCAAGGAACTAGATGGTATAAGATAGAAGTGGCTAAAGTGAGATGTATGCATCCTCTACTGACTTTTTCTCTCTCTCTCTCTCTCTCTCCCCTTCTCCCTCTCCCTCCACTCCTTTCTTCCTCTCTTCGTGTGTGTATGTGTGTGTGTGTGTGTGTGTGTGGCTACTCTAGGAATTAAATATGCATTCCTATCATATTCTGCTTTGAATTAGTATAAATAATACTTTAAAAATGTAAGAGTGTTATAGTAATATAATTCCATCTATACCATCCCAACCTTTCAGCTAGCATTCTCATATATGCTAATCTTTCACATTATAAATCCCAAAATATTATTATTATTCTAGATTTAGTCAGTTATATTTAAAGGTATCAAGAAGATAAAATAGTTAATCTTCTGTATTTACCATATTTACCTTCTGATAGTCTTCATT